TATAATTCAAACATTCTATTTAAAAACAATTTAGTTTTACGTTCTTACAATTTTTTATGGTTGTCTTTTCACTATCTCTGATGAAATAATATATTGGAATACATTATCTCCTTGCCAAGGATTAGAGAGGCGATTTCTACCGAACATCCTTCTTTTCCTAACCAATCTTACAACAACAGCAACATCTTACAACTAAAGAAACTTCTGTAAGAGAGAATTCTTATCCTCACTTACACGGCCCGTAAAAAAAACATTTGTAAACAAATCATTACATATTCTACGTAAATTCTCTCTCAATCCTTTACTAACACGACATGACAAATCATGCAAGTGTAAGAATGCGAAGGTCGATTGATTGCTATTTTCTTTTAGATAAGGAAAATCACAGAAAAGATGCCCAGTAGACGGTATTGTTATGACCGTTAAAGGCAATTATGCAAGCTTCGCGGCTGCAAGTGTACGAACGAACGGCCCGCGAATGCTGGGGTTCCGATGCGTTGTGCGTGTCGAGGTCATTCGATTATCGATATCGATATTCAATTAAAATTAAAATGATCAAAATGCAATATTTTTACGGTTAATAGGGTTACAGTTGTTAGTTAAGTAAAGACCCAAAGAAGAAATAAATGGATGCCAAAGTGGTAAATGATAGACGTCAAATAGATACATTTCTTTTATGTTGTAGTTTTTTTTTCTCTTTTTCATACATGAAATGTACTCATTTTACTATACTTAAACAAACGCGTTACGAATTCGATTATGAATTCACATTTCTGGTAACTTTCCAAGATAAGACCTGGTCAAAACCCCTACTATTGCACTCGAATTTAAATTCTGCAACCAAACAAGTTACCTAATGATAACACGCTGTTTCCAATAATTTTCTAAGCGATATACTTTCGTCATGGAATTTTAATAAAATAATTCTGCTTGTCGACACTTTTGATTTCTTACACGGCACGTCACGTGCGTTCATGTTTCATTGTCGACAGTGGAAAATTCCACTGCAAAGCATGTTACACTGCCAGTCTCTTTCACTCGCGTGTTGTAACACATAACACTATCTAGCTTTTTTCCACTCGACTCAGGCGCTGTGACCCAAGCAATTTTTCTCGCTCTCTCTTGTGTTGTCGTGTATATACATGTCTCTCTCTTCAGGGCAACTAAACGTTCTATTTTACGAATAGCTCACTGCTATGTATACTTCTCGGTCGTCGGCCAAATGATTTTTGTTAGCTGTCTTTCTCTAGAGCTTGAATGAGGTAAATTTTGTTGCCTTGATGCAGAGCTACAGCTTCAAATCCAACAGAATACTATACTACGACCACGTGCTCGAAAGGTTAACGACTGATATAACAGATAACAATATAAATAACAACAATTGCAGACTCGCGCATTATTAATCGAGTCTATGTATGGAAGTAGGGGAATGACTCTAGGGCTTAATAGTTTCTATGATTATAAAATGTTTTAACTTAAGTGTAATGGAATATTTTTATAACTCTCCTTTTTATTAGTCTGAGTTGTTGTGACTATTATAATTTAGGAATTAAGCTAATATCGTGTAACATTTACATTTATTGGCTTTACATAAATTGTACCATACATTTGTAATAGATAAGAAAAGCTATTCCAAAAAGGCAAAAAGAAAATATGGGAATATTCTAAACCAAATGCTAAAAACAATATTGCGCGGAATAAAATGCTTTCGACGTGTCGTGAGTGTTCGAGAAATTTCTAGATCGCCGAGACCCGCAGCCCGTGACCGCGACTGACGAGGGCCTTCCATAGACAATTTGAGCACTTAGCTGTTGTACTATTTCATGTCCATTATTGATTGTTACTAAATATTTTGTTATATAGATACTTCAATATTGATAAATAAATAACGATTTTAATTATAATAGACGTGGAGTTATTTAAATAATCAATACAAAATTTCACTTTTTTTTATTTTATCTGTACTAAAATCAGTCCAGGTTTTTGATCATTGGTGAGGGTTGTAAATAAGTATAAACTTTTAATAATATTTTTATATCTAAATGGGAAGATAAATAAATTGGGAGAGGTTATTATTTTTCTATTTTTATTGAATAAGTTTCTTGCGATAATATGAACATCTGTATAGCGTAAAAACAGTTATTATCCAACAATCAAATTAGTTACATCATGCATAGAATTTACCCAATAAGTGAATTACTTTTCATTCTTATAAGAAACAACCGACAGAGTTTCTTTCATTATTTATAATTTTTCTGCACCTAAAAACTTTTTCTTGGGCGCATGTAATTAGAGGTTGCAAATCTTCGAATAAATATAAGATAAATTGGATATGAAAAGTGTTAAAGAGATGTTAGCTACCTATTTATTGCTTTAAAAATATACCTATACGTAAACAAAAATAACAATCTAATTATAGCATACGTGTTTCGTACACGTGAGGCACAGGGCATGTGGAGAATGAGAGCTTAATTAAGATAATCCTGTGCTCGTTTGTAAACCAAACTGTCGACATGTTGTTATTTTCACTCGCGCAAAATATTTATGTCCACGTGACGTCACGGGCGTCGCAGAAACGAGAGTTGTTAAAATTACCCGCTCGGGAATTTGGCTTCCGAAATGTTACTTGTTTCCATTGTCAGTTACGACGTTTGTGTTTAATTTTGGAATCTTGAAATAATTAAATTAATCACTTTGTGTAATTTTATTTTCAAATCATTTGTGTTTTCCAATTATAAAATTTACTACACCAAGTAAGTAGGTAAGGCGATGCCTTTTAACTTAACCTCTGTTTAAAAAAGGCTTATGTGGTGATTTCAGTTTTCGTTATTTATTGGTTTATTTACGTAACTATAAATTACTTTCATATTAATTCAAGATAGTAGAAAATACAAGCGAACGGTTATAAAATAAATGTAGTAGTATAGTGGGATTTCACAAAATGGCCAGTGGAAACAGATTTGAAGCGGATTTAAGTGGCCACATACTGTGACGTGCACGATAACCGGGAGACTTGGCACCACGTACCGACTTTGTTTACAGCCGCCGGCCATGAATTTGGCGGGAGTTAGATGATGAAGTTCACAGTCAAATGTTTGGCAACCAGACAGGTCGCAGAGACGTCGGATACTGCAAAAGGAACGAGGAAGCATTCGTTCTATTTTAAAATCATAATATTGTTAAAAAACGATATACTAACGTTGCTGGGATTCAGAAAGGTTTTGAACTAGGTATGTAATTCGGAAATGTATTAAATCATACAGTCTAACGTAAAGTAATAACATCAAAAGTGTACAGTCATTTGAAGTAGGCAGTTTTATCGCGAGTATGTTTCCGCTAGCGTGGGTTTACCTGGTTGTTACGGCCGGACATTTGCCATCAGACGAAATGAAAAATGTATAGCTACGTATATGATGCAAAATCGATGTCAAGATTTTTGTTATAGGATTTAGACTACTTGAAGTTTATAAAATTTGTAATAACGCCATCTGTTGTTGAGTAGCAAAAACTTCAAACGCAGCGGTTTGGTTTTATCATCGCCATCTATTGATTAAATTTTTATTTTTATACTTTGTAGTTAATTTCAAATTCTTATAATCAAGTATAGATGGCATTGTTATAAAACAGGAAAGTTTTCAAAACAATCCGCCTCAAGGTGGTATAAACTATGATCCAAGATTTGAAGTTTAGAATTTTGATCGTTTTTATTTTCATGAATTGTCTTTTTCATGTAATACATAGTAATTTTTGTTTATAGAGCTTTAGTAAATACGTACTGCGACTTGAATTTTGGATGCAGATTCACTTTTAATAATCATTGGAAATTATAAATTTCATACTTTAACTACTCTACAATAAATTTGGATTCTTTTATATATTTTGTATTAAAAAGAATTAGAACTCATGTGTTACCCAGATATTAGGCGTTGACAGGTCACGTGTTCTCACTAGATCGATTGCGCGTTGTCTGGGGAAATCATCCCAGCGGTAGTGTAATCGACGCCCATTGCCCACCCCTAGGGGGCGCAGTAACAAGCTTCCCACAATTACATCATGCGTGTTACCTTATTAATTGCCGGATAATGTAAATGTAATCGAAACTAGGCGTGAAGATCCCATTTTAATTGCGTATTGATTTACTGATGTCTAAAATTTTACAACTTTAAAACATCAGTAATAATTCTACAAATTAGTATTCTAAAAAATAGAGTTCTAAAAAAGGTTTTTAACCCGATTTTTATACAATTTTATGAAACTGGTACCTTTAATTTTCATTTGCACAAAGACTGAAGTTGTGTAATTGTTTTTTTAACATAGAAATATATGTAATTGTATTTCTTTCACACCATACTATCTAATTACAGCCCCAACTTCTCGACACGTGCGCCTTTACAAGTTAGAGGCGCGGGAAATTCACTTACAAAACAATTACTCCCCGAACTACCACCGAATTTTATTCTACATTCGGTTTGAGTTAAATTAAACAGTGACTGATTATATGTTTCCTTTATATAATAACAATTTAAATTAAAATTCTTAACCAAAAATAAAACAAACAAAAGGATATAATGTTGTCATCAAACATAATTCTGATAAACATAGACAGAGTTGTTTCGCACGTTATTAGCTCATGTTAAATGTATGGGAATGTGCAGATATATCTATAGAAGTGCGCAGAGGAAAACGTCGGCAATCCCAAGGGAGGTTCACGAGGACACCTGCGTCCCCCGTCTCGACATTTTACTGCTGTCATTACATTAAAGCAAATATTTCGGTGATTCAAACAAAATGGCAATGTAATCTATACTATACATGCTTTTATCGGCCACCTGCGTTAAATGATGATAACGTATCGAATTAACTATATACCAGTAGATTAACTATGCCTGAATTTAATATCGACACCTCATTAGTCATTAGTAACATAGGTGGACTCTAAATCACTGGTCCACACCAAAATGAAAGTTTTGTGACAAAAGGATATTAAATAACTATTAATAATGAAGTTAATTATAACAGTGGTTATTCTAAGCTGTCTGTATAGTGTTAAAGCAAGATGTGTGATGCGCGGGGAGTGTGTGGAGATCAACGGGTTCGCAAAGCCATGCCCCTACCCGTACGACCCTCCGGCCGTCCTTGTGAACTTGACACAGTCTGATAGAGTCGAGATTATGAATATTCTGGAATCCCGATGTCCGTTTCTAGTATACGATGAATACGGTTCTCTTAAGCCTATCGAGGACATCGTGACGTGCTGCGACGAAATCCAGTTGAGGAAAATGCAGGAGAGCTTGATGTTAGCCGAAGGTATACTCGGCAGGTGTCCGACGTGTTTAAGAAATTTCGTACGACAAATCTGTGAAATGAATTGTTCCCCTGATCAATCGCGGTTCGTTGAAGTAACAGTGCTGAACGCGATTGATGGTACTCCGTACGTTAACGAAATCGATTACAGATTATACGAAAAGTTTATGTTGGAAGCTCACGCGTCTTGTTCTGGTGTAGTCGTCCCGCAAACTGGAATGCCGGCCATCAATCTCATGTGCGGTAATGCTCCCGTTTGTGACGCCGACGCCTGGTTCGGATTTACAGGAGATACTACGACAAATCCTTTAGCTCCAGTTCAAGTCAACTTTTTAAGATGGCCGACGGAGGAGGATTCGATGAACGCTCGCGCTCCCCCGTGCGAAGAAACCATGGGAGAAGATCTTCCCTGCAGCTGCGTCGACTGTTTCGCGAATTGCCCTGTCGGAACCGAACCTCTTCCGCCAAGTATTTGCACTGTTCTTTCAGTAAACTGTATTAGTTTCTCTATCGGTATAGTGTTTTTCGTCATCAGTGTCACTATATTCTGTATTCTTTCAATCCTGGAGTACAAAAGGTTAAGAAACGTTCAATTTGAAAACAACGTGTCTAAAACTGTACCCGAAGATAATATCTTTATTAGATTTTTCCAAGAAACGTTTGGCGCAATCGGTGCTTTTTCGTCAAAAAACCCTGTTCTTGCTATCATGGTCACTACATGGATAGCTTTCGCAATGCTGTTTGGTGTTCTGAATCTCAATTTAACCTCAAATCCTCTCGAACTTTGGTCTGCACCGGATTCGAGGAGCCGGACTGAGTTAAATTATTTCAATTCAAGATTCGGACCATTTTATCGCGCTGCCCAAGTTTACCTTCAGTTTACGGGCTTGGAACCCTTTGAAGTTGATAATATAACCTATGGTCCGGCTTTTAGAATAGAAGCCTTGCAAGAATTAGTTAAATTGGAAGACGCTATATTTAACATCGGCAGGGACACCGGTGGCGTCGTTTTGGAAGATGTTTGCTACGCACCTCTTCGCCCTCGTGGAGGAGAAAAGAGAGTAGAGCAGTGTACATTCATGTCTGCATCGGTTTATTTAGGCAGAGACCGAAACAATATTAATAATGAAACATACTTGAGTACTATACAAAATTGTTTAAATAATTACTTAGCTCTTAACTGTATGGCCGAGTGGGGTGCCGGCGCCGACCCGGATATTTCTTTCGGAGGTGTCGCAGGTGACAATATTTTAAGTGCCACTACGTTACTTATAAACTTCCCTATAAGTAACTTCCTTCTAGAAGAAGAGTTGCAACCTGTGCTCGAATGGGAGCAGAAATTCCTTGATCTGTTACATGATTATGAATCAAATTGGAAACCAGATTTCGTAGAAGTAAGTTATGGCGCTGAGAGGTCTATTGCCGATGAGATTGAGCGAGTTTCACGAGCGGAAATTTTACCTATAGCTATTAGTTATTTACTTATGTTTATATATGTAATACTAGCTTTAGGGAACATACGATATTGTAGAACTTGGTTGGTCGATAGCAAAATAACAGTAGGTATAAGTTGCATAATTGTCGTGTTAGGGTCCATTTTTTGTGCAATGGGTGTAATGGGTTATGCTGAAATTACAGTTACATTATTAGCGGTTAACGTGATACCATTCTTTGTCTTATCTGTGGGAGTAGATAACGTTTTCTTAATGGTTAATGCTATACACGATATAGAAACTAATTTAAAAGAATATGACGATTATAATGAAAACTTTAGTGCGTCGAAAAAGAAGACGTTCATTTTTACAAAAATGATGAAGACAGTGGGGCCGTCTATGTTTGTTACATCGGTGACACAGATCACTTGCTTCGCTATAGGAAGTCTCGCTAATTTCCCAGCAGTTGTAACATTTGCAGTGTTTGCTTCGTTGTCTTTAGGTTTCTTGTTTATTTTTCAAATAACAACAGTTGTTGCGATACTATCCATTGACTATGACCGAGCAAGACAAAATAGATTAGATGTTTTCTGCTGTGTTCAAAAGAAAATTTTGCTAGACAATGATCCTTTGAACGCTGATACTCCGTACCAAAGTATCATTGGAAGGTTAATGAAACCTTACTCTGAATTTATTTTAAATTGGAAAGTCAAAATTGTAGTAGCAATTATATTTATGGCCATATTTTCGATAAGTATCATATTAATACCGCAACTTGAAATAGGGCTAGATCAGAATCTAGTTTTGCCAACTGATTCTTACATGTACAGATATTTGCAGTCAGTAAATGATGTGTTGCGTCTCGGTCCACCGGTCTTTTTCGTTTTGAAAGGTGGATTAAACTTTACAGACACGAACGATCAAAATGTTATCTGTGGAGGGCAATTATGTTATCCAGACTCTCTTACAACACAAATATTCTTAGCAGCTCGGCATAGTAACGTAACGTATATGGCAAAAAGTTCTAATTCCTGGTTAGACGACTTCTTCGATTGGTCAGGTTTAACCGGGGCTTGCTGCAAGTATAATACTACAAACGGTGGTTTCTGTTCTAGTACTGATACGTCTCCCGATTGTCAATTTTGCTCCCTTGGCAGAGATGAATTCGGCAACGGTTTACGACCGGATGCAGAGACTTTTGAAAATTACATACCGTTTTTCTTACAAGACACTCCGACTGATCAGTGTAATAAAGGAGGTCTCGCGAGTTACTCGGGTTCTGTTAATTACGAATTAGACTCGGAAGGACGGGCTCATGTTCAGGATACAAACTTCATGGCATATCACGTGGCTCTGGGAACATCGTCCGAGTATATAAATGCTGTTAAATTTGGTTATGAAGTTGCCGGTAATATAACTTCAGCAATAAAGAAACATACAGGTAAAGATGTTGAGGTGTTCCCGTATTCAGTGTTTTACGTATTTTATGAGCAGTATTTGACAATGTGGGGTGATACATTCTCTTCGTTAGGCTTTTGTTTAATCGGAGCTTTGGTTATTAATTTATTGGCGACAGGATTTAATGTTTTGACGACTTTTACTGTGATGTTTACTAGCATTATGGTTGTCATTGATATGATGGGTGTCATGTACATCTGGAATATTCCATTGAATGCTGTTTCGTGTGTTAATTTGATCGTTTCTATAGGTATCGCTGTAGAGTTTTGTAGTCACTTGGCGTACGCTTTTGCAACTAGTAAATCTCCTCCCAATGAAAGAGTTGCTGATGCTATTTGCAGAGTGGGTGCTACAATAATTACGGGAATAACATTAACTAACATACCAATTATAGTTTTAGCATTCTCTTACACAGAGTTGATCGAAATGTTTTTCTTTAGAATGCTTTTCAGTTTGGTGATACTTGGATTTTTGCATGGCATGGTATTCTATCCGGTTTTCTTGAGCTATGTTAATGATATTATTAAGAAGTAATTGTTAATTAGCATTACTTAAACTCTAGTTTTAAGTCCCCAATCATGTTAAATATATTTTCATTAAAGTTACTAATATTTTCATTACAGTTTACTTGTAGTTGACTTGCTTATTTATATTTTTATTAACTCTAATAGTTTTGCAGAAATACTTTTATTTTTGCCACTGTTATTGTAACTGTTCCCTATGTGATATAAGATTTGTAAATATAAAAGATGTTTAAGATTTATCGGATATTTTTATTTACAAAACAAGGAAGACATCGATTAAAATCACAACACGAATATATTAACAAACTCCTAAATACAATGAAATGAACATTTATACAATTTAGTTATAGAATTTTATTTCTAGACTAGATATTAAAATATGACACTAAAATTCGAATTATTATCATATCTATCAAGGAATTGATAAAATGTTTCGTGTTATCAACATATCTTAAGAATGTAAGAGTTGTCGGTTCTTATATAAAATAATGACTAGATGCAACTTAAGACAATACATTATAACAGTAAGACAATTATATATTTAAGATCTAAGATCGCGCGCATAACTAAAACTTAACTATCGCACAACTGTTTAGTCTTGCTTTGATTCCTATGAGCCTTTATGGATGTGCGCACACTATTCGATTTTAGTTCTGCAAATAAACAGTTGAATTGACTGTAAAACAATCGACAATCGCATAATAGTTATGCGATAGCTTAGTCGAAATAATATAAGCCGAAATTCTATATTGAATTGCAATTATTTAGTTATCCTGTTCTATCACGCGTCTAAAACGTGGTTTAGATAAGCTATGTAACATATCGCAAGTCTTAAAATTTCAATTTTCGATAGCTTCTTATCCGGAGGTAGAGTTGGTAGGAGACGTCGGAGTGATCCGAATGCCGCGTTGAACGCTTCCACACGTATTCTTTCCCTGGTGGCATGCGCTGTTCGATACTTTAGTGTAGCTCTGCGCCGACGTCTCCGCTCTTCACGGGAGAGACCAGCGCAGGGGGAACCTGTCCCACTGGAGAGGTATGCGTCTTCAGACAACGCGCATGGCTCTAGTGCTCTTTCCCTGTACATATAAAATACGTAAAAACAAAAATTAAGGACCTTCTAATGGATTGTAGGTTAATTTTGTCAACCCTTTAATACCGTGACGTTCGTCGAAGATTTTTGTCAAATCATGCCTATTGAATCATTATGCGTAGGCTTGCCAAACACTATTTTGACCAATAAATATAATAATATATAAATCGTAAAATGTGTTGCGATAAATGTAACGATGTCAATGTGACCAATAAGCGGTGGTCATAGAGTAAAAACACAGTCTGTTTTAGCTTAAATGGATAACTCATTAAGTGAGATGTCCGATTTGGGTTCTTCCAAGGTGTTTCGGGATTAGTTGGATTGTCTTACGTACCGTTTTCTAGGCGCTAAGTTCTCTCTGCTCGTGATAGGGAGCAGTGCTTCGCGCGGCTCGGCAAGCATGCACGACAGCGCGCCATCCTCCATACTCATACCACTCTCCAACCAGCTCTTCATTTCCTATCTGTTACAAGTACAATATTGTTTTAGACACACGTTTTTTTTTGTGACTGAATGACCTCTGTTTGCCTTGTAGAGGCATTTACAGATTCACCGGGCTTGAGGTGGCCGAGCGCAGATGGCGCTTAGCCTAATCCTCGTTAAGGACACACAAATCAAACTAAATTGTTAGAAATAAGTGTGTTTAAAAATAATTACCAAATCCGATATGTATTTTAAAGTGAAGCTTAACTAAGTAATAAATAATTGTTTATCATTAGGAAGTGTTTGACACTACACAAGTATAATTTATTTCTTAGGAAATAACACTGCGGCCAAGCTCGTTAAAACAAGCGATACGATTCCCCATTCCTAATCTTACTGTTTAGTAACTAATATAAATGCGTATATGTAGATGGTTCGACGGAAGGATGTTTGTTAAAGTCACTAGAAAAGCTCAACGGATTTTGTTGAAATTTGGGATAGCTGTAAAATATCACGGATTTTTTTTTAATTCCACGCAAACAAAATCGCGGGCTTGCACTTAAATAAAGTTATTAGGTACTAAAGTTAAAATATTTTTTATTTGTACTCTATCGAAACATCTTACAAGTTTGTTAACCCTTTGCGACCGCAGCACGTTTGTTTGTGCTCGTCCAAATCAAATTCCCCGGCCGCCGGCAGAGCCGCCGGGATAAATAATACATCACGGGTTCACACCTCGCACTAAGCGAGCTCTTTAGGGGATAATAAATCCGTATTTATTCTTTTTATATCGCCTTCGCTACCCTCTGCCCTTACGTAATCGAATCATGCTTGCTAACCGTATCGAATCGATTGGACACTGCACCCCCAAGCACTTATGACCGCCTGATAAAATACGTTAATAATTGTATATTAGATCTTGGTGTTTGATAACAGATGTCATTGTTATGTTGTAAATGTGTGAATTATTTTCACAATTTCATTTACAATTTAGGGTTAAAACAACGAAGTACCTAACAGAAGACGTTAAGTGGAAATATTATCGCTGTAAAGTTTTACTTTTCTGTAGTGAGTATAAGTTGGCAATCGAGCAGTCACTTTAAAATCGGTTTACCTTCTTTTCTTTATCAGAAAATGTTGACGCTCATCAGATGAAACGCGGAATTGACTCCACTTAATGTCTGCCTTTTGTATGATCATGGTATACCGGTCGAGTCGATCTCTTTTGCGGGCTTTACCACTATTAAACAGTCTTACGTGCAAATTGCCTTTTAAACTCTGAACAAGGTGCCCCACCCTGTCTATTTTCCTCATCTTGTCAGTGTGAAGTATCAAAAATATTCCTGACTTTAACTGAAAATTACATTCTCGAAAAGCACTGAATGTTAACTTACCTTGTGATAAAAATAAGTAGCAAAATGAAGGATCAATTTTTTTTAAATAATTCACAAGTCACCATAAGTTAATTAGAACGTCACAGAGATCTATACAAATCGCACTGGTCCAGACGTGAACAGGGATGCTGCTTTTATGTCCTCCGAAAGAGGGATGGAACAACCCTCTCCGGAGGGCGGAGCTTAACGAAAGATTCAGAGGGTTGTTCGATGAATTAGACAAAAATAATTAAAACAAATTATGATCGTATTAATATTTGTAAAACAAATTGTATTGACATAAAATAACTTGAGAGGTAATTACAAGTATCATTTAATTTACTATATTACTATATTTTATTTTTTCATTCTAAGCGATATTGCTTGTTGTGCGCATTTTAAATGGTTCAAATATATGTAGATATTAATATTGATTTTAGATAATTTTCTATAAATAGTTACTCTGGTTTTGAACCCTTTTATTTTCAACAAAAAAATATTTTCCTCTAGACAACCACTTTTACATTTTGATAATGAAGACATAAACGCAAGAATTTCTCACCATTATCTTTTTGTTATCCTCTCACTTGGGTAACATCTGTGTTCCCGACTCCGCCCCGTGCGCAGCCTCCAATCCCGCTCGGCCCCGCCTATCGATCTCGGCGCTGGGCATCAGGTGCTGCAGGATAATGAACGACCAAGCACGTTCAGAGATCGATACACTTTCAGAGTACAGTTGGATAACTGAAGCATTTATACATCCTGCAAATATAACATGTAAAATAGAGTACAAATAATCGTATAAATTTCATGTTTTTATTATAAACAATAAGAAAGTTCTCCACAATATTTACGTAATATAACAATCGAAATTTGGTCTGTACCAGTATTTAATCTGTTCACGTGTTAATCACATTTTATCGATAATTAGTTTCTTTTATACAAATTAAATTAAAAGAAGTTATCGCAAGAATGCAACGTTTTAAAGTATCATTATTTGCGTAAGTCCATTTCAAGGTCGGTCATTGACTTTCGCCCTTTTTTATTTTAGGTTACAGATGAGACGAGATGTTATTTGCCTAATTTTCTTTAGTCTTTGCCAACTAAACTCTCGCAAGATATAGATGTCTGAACAAAGACGGTAAAATTTATGAATACAAAACAAAACCGACTTCCAAACAAAATACACTAAAAACAAAACAAAATGCACTAAAAACAAAACAAAATATCCTCAAAAAAACAGTACACT